TGTGTGTGTGTGCTTGCTCACACCCAGAGAGCACACTAGGACGTGGAAGTCTGCTGAATCTCTGCATGGTTTATGGGCTCCACGACGCTGAAGGCATTCAAGTGTTGTCCTAGTTTCTCCACGGACGTTTTTCTGTGAATGCCGGTCGTAGCTGTTGCCTACCCACATTTTACCAACTATAGCTAAAAAGGAACCAAGAAATGATTCCCAAAGTCTGAGGTACGCTTCTGTGAGTTAATCTTTTCCTTTTATGCTCTCGTATAATGGAGCAAATGTGCTTCTCTGGGACAAAAGCTCTCGCTAAAAAAGAACACCTTTTTTGGGGCAAACTTTGGCATACAATCAAGTAACTAATTAAAAGAAGGGCTCAACTTCCAACAAAACCTTTTTGGAATTCAAAAGAAAAAAGTGAATATTTTTATTGGAGGAGTTGTAAAGGAAATCCACTAACTCTCCGAGGCCATACTGGTGGAGTTGGGCCTTTCTTAAATGGCCGGCCATTAGAGAAAGGTATGGTCACGGGGGAAGGGGTCGGGGAAGACCCAAGGATGGATCTGAGCTGATCAGTTTACCCTTCCGATCTTGCGGTGGTCTCTCTTCGCCGCCTCCGCCTGGAAATGTTGCCACTCCTTCAGCTGTTTTGTGTCCGGGAAGGAAATGCCGTAGATGCGCTGAAGGGACTCGGCCTCTGCGTTCCCTCCCCAATAGGTAGCCGAGTTCTGTCAACAGTATGGAAAAGCGAGGCCACGTTGACCCTCGTCTCGCCGAAAGTCTACAAACTACTACTTAGTGGGGAAATGCTGCATACAGCGCTGCGGCTTGTATCATGACACGACCTTGCTGTTCTCTGAAACCTTAAAATACAATTACTAAGACAACGTACCACACAGTGCTGTGGCACTATAAATGCATGATTTTATTCGTTGTACGAGTAAAAATGGAAGTGCCCTGGCCAGAAGTAGTAACTTGTAGGGCTAGGCCCTTCAGACCACTGGGTAATTACAGAGATTAGAGGTCCATTTTTTTTTCGTGTCCCTGTCACATCTGACATTTGATTTTGTAAGTTTAGAACACACTTTCTAATTTCCAAGAGTGATAAATTAATGCAATTACATGTACCTGCCAATAAAATTGTAAAAGTTTGAAATCCATTCCGGTGATATTTCCATGTCAGCTAACAAAGGTCAGATGTGACAGGGACACGAAAAAAAATGGATCTCTAATCTCTAGACTTACCCTACTACGCAGTGGTTGGCAGTACTGAGTCCTGTACCCCAGGTGATACGCCAGGGGGGTTAGGGTTAGTAGGGAAACAATAGGCCTACATGTATGTACAGACGCCGATGGCGTCACACTCTATTCACATGCGCACTTTCCCATGGAGCCAGTGGGAGGGGGGGGGGACATGGTCCACTTAAGATCTCAGGAAAGCACAGGTGCGGAATCAGGCGGTACAGGGATCTACGTATTCCTTCACCGACATCCGAGTCAGGAATGAGATTGGGGGAATATAGAGAAATGCCTGTGGAAGGGGTTTCAACAACCACAGCAAGGAAACATCGTCAGTCAGCTTTCAGGGTTTTAACGGATCCAACAAGGAATTGGGTTTTTCCAGAATGACTGCGATTATTCCAATCTTGCGCTATTTTTTGGTTTGAAAGAGCTTAAAGACAGCAAATCCCGAATGAAAGGTCTCTGAAAAAATCTCTTATCCATTATTGAACATTTGGATACTTTTTATATCTTAATATAAAAATATATTCAAATTTGTATAAAGAATATGCAGAACCCTAATTAGTTTTTCCATATGGTTTGTTGGAAAATATATCCAGAAATCAAATGTTCTCAAATGAAAGCAAAGACAAACCTTGACGACATCAACAGCTTTGACCTTGCCCGTGTGTCGGACGTGAGGGCCTCGACAGAGGTCAATCAACGGACCACATCTGAAAAAAAAAAGAAGGAAACGACACTGCCACCTGACATTCAGGAGTTGTCATAACAAAATCGACGATTTCATTATGTCTCAATTCAAAGATGTGTTTTGATTGGAGCTTTTGTAATATCTGAGGTAAAGTTGCAGATGTTGAGATGTAGACTAGGTTGGACGAGACAGCAGGAAACAGGCTGCATGTCAGCAAATGAGCATAATGCCCGAAGCACCACAAAACAGAGCCTGTCATTACAGCGACTTTCCTTGGCTATCACTTAGTTGAATTTTTACAATCTATGTCCAACTGGTGAAGTGAGTGCACCGTTAAAGTCTTTTCACAAGTCCACTGGCAAGTCCTTCCAAAAGACCAGTCATAAGTTGCAGGGTGAACAATGACGAAAGAATGATTTTTGTCAATGTTCAGTTGAATAGATAGTGACTTGGCTTACGACTAAAGGACTTTGAATAGACTGGTGATGAACTTATTGACGAGAATACCGGTGTATTCATCCTCGGAGTCACCTAAAGGCGAGCAGATTTATGGCAATTTTTTCCCTTTATGGACACACTTTTTGCAAATGATAGTTTCTTTTAATATTTGTCAGATTATAACTGGATTTTTTCTTTCTGTTAATACCACAAAAATGAATTCAATGTCAAAGCAGTTTCCCAGCTGAAGAAGCTGAATTTTTATCACTGTCTTGCAACTGGCTTAATTGAAATTGAAAAAAATAACAACTGTTCAGGATCGTCTGATATTTAATGTTTTGTTATTTCGGGAAAGCTTCACGGATAGAACTGATTGAAATTGAGTGAACACTGAATTCAGAACTCTCAATTTCAAATGGAACTTTATGAGCAAAACTGCTTTTCTCATTGAAAATTGGCCAAGAAAACCCACATATGTATGGAAGACGTGCCGTATATCTAGAGCGAAGTGACCAAGTGTGTAGCTTAGGAATATTTAAACACATTCATTTGCTCGAGATGAAAGTTCTACCGACAAAGGGACATGAAATGTTACCTGTATACCGTGGTGGTTGCCGTGGTGACCTTCTCATTCAGAATACGCTTCTTGAACAAATTGTACTGCAAAAGGCATTCATTATGAGGAGTCAACTGGAGGGGTATTGATTTACCAATCTGAAAGTCAACTCCCATCAAATGCATCAAAATCGGGGGCGAGATTGATCAACGATAAAAATAGCTGAAAACAGCCGAAAAAGGGGCATAAAAAAGCTGAACTGTGGAAATCTCCTGTACTTTTGTACCCAGCCAGTGAGGACAAAAAGCTGAAATCCAAAACAAAAAAGGGGGAAATCGGCTAAAAAGCTGGGAAATCTCACCCCTGCAAAATGAGAGGAGGTACAGCTGGAATCAAGACTAGAAGACTGGACAGTGTGTGCAGACTAGCAGCGCTTTTGATCACAAGACATACCATATTCACTATGAACATACGTATCTATAGGCTAAGTTTCAAGAAGATCTGGCATGATTCCTCACGCTGTGCAATGGGCTGAGGAAGCCCAGCTTTTTTTGGGGGGGGGGTGTTAGGTAGCTAAAACTGCTGAGGTACTTTCTGTCTGATTCCTCCAACTCAATCTTTACATATATTTGACATAATGTGGCACCTCAAAAACAGAACCGTGACGTACTATTAGGAACCACTCCTATGAGAAAGCTGACGTGTGCACTACCCATGGATGTCCTTCTCAAATCCCAGAATCTTACAACATCAGCTGCTGTTAGTCCTTAATGTGTGATATGAAAGCCTTATAATGCCGCCGTGCGGTACGTATTCCACGTCACATGTTCTCCAGACTGTGACGGTAAATTTGAATACTATCCCTACATGTAACAGCACAGCGTCTGTGAAACTGTAGGATCTAGTGCCCTAGCCCTGAACACACCCTCTAAATGAGTTGGAACTGTCACCACAGTGGAGCACTTAATTGTCAGCAGTGTTTCTGAGGGTTGTGGGGGGCCAATCTAAAGACTGCCAATTTTCTTCGAGTGAATCTCTAATAATTTTTCAACTTTCACAGTGGATGTTCTTCCTGGATATTCTTACATCAAACATCTTCAGGAGGTCTTCCTTCTTCATCTCCAGCCGAATGAACGGCTGCTTTTCTTTCTGGATCTTCTTGACGACCTCCATCAGCGTCTTGAAGTCGTTGCTGGAGACTTGCCTGCAAATAGAAAATGGCATCAGTTATTTCCTGAATGATCGCTCTGCAAAGTACATGCACTCTGTCGCTTCACATTAGGGAGACTGTGCACAGACTACTGTTGTAGTTAGGCAAGTCCGAACCCAAAAATCCAACCACAACGATCCTGGCCTTGATTTGACCCGATCACTACTGCTGACCCAATTGCAGCCCTACACCTACAGTCCAATTGCTAGTTCTTCGTGGCACATGTGGCACTGTGGCCACACACTGGTGACCTTTTCAGTACGCCACATGCCTGGCTTTCGAGTTAGCCTGATTGCTGTCAGAGTTAGTGGCAAATAACAACTTGGCACAGTTTTAATTTTAGGCGGACTTTGATTTCACATTAGCTCCGAGCCTGGGATTCACATGCACTGCTACAGGCATTTTCCTAGCTCTGGACAGCAAAAAATTACTTATTCTGATTGCCGCTCAATGAACAAATCCTCCAGTGCCAGGGAAATGTGGTCAGTAGTCCATCTTGTGTGCACGACATAAACAAAGTTTGATACAGAAACTGAAAATCATTTTGATTTTTGAGGTAAAGAATAATTTATTGATTTATATAGCACAGTTCTATAATACACATATATTCAAATGTGACGAACACTGAATCATATTAACCACTTCCTGCCAGGGACTCCGGAATCGGAGACGGATGCTTTATATGCTTGGCTGGGCTCTCCCAACTCGGACAAAGGACACAGGGCCCTGTAACAAAAGACCGTACTCCGAACAAAAGATCAGGCTGCTGGGCATGACCAACATTTTTCACTCTCAAAAGTGGTGATAATCCAGCCTTGTTTTGAAACCGTATACCAGGGTTTGGGGCATTTATAGTGAGCCGATTACCACCGGGGACAAAAGCGCTCCACCACCACAGCGATGAGCCACACAACACCGCTGCACGCTAATCTGGCCCCTATTGAAGAGAGGTCAACAGTGCACTGAGCCAGGTTCGTGAACAAAAGACAGTTGTATAACACCGCACAATCTGGGCTCTTTTTACAAGGCTGCAGGCCTGGCTGAAATACTCGGGCGTCAATGAATGTCACCTGTCAACTTAGATTAGTGCCTAAAGATTACTTCGTGTGGCTATGAACGTCCATTAAATGAAATGACGAATTTCTGAAGAATTTTGAAAACGGAAAAAATGATAATTATGCCGGCCCAGCATCATCAACATTGAAAAATGCCCCGGCATGAAGTGGTTGAGCACAAATTAATAAAATCAAAGTAAAAATTTTAAAGTTGATGTAAAAGGTTCTTGCAGGATCATCCGTCCGCTCACTGAATAAGATTTTGGCTTTCTTGCCAGTTCACTGCCCTCTGTCTTCGAGTATACTGTTACGTCAGGGGCGGACAAAAAATGAGCAATAGCTGAGAGCAAGCCCCCTGCGCCCCTTACCGACTCCATGAAAAGCACACGCACGAAGTTTGAGGGGAGGGCATTCGCCAGGTTGACACCCAGCAGCTCAGCCAGCGCACTGAGGAATGCAAGCGTAAAACCGTAAACCATAAACAGATGTGAGCAAGTCTTGCGGTGAGAATAAGGAAGGGATTAGAAATCAAGCTCCGGTCGAGAGATTCCTGTGCACACATTGTACATTTATACCTCGTGTTTTAATTTTGTTCAACCGGTTCACGTCAGATTTTCTTACACAAAAACAGTGCCATGGGCGGGTATTTTCCCTGCAAATTCTTCGACCCAGCAGTTTATTTATGCCACACATGAAGTATGCGAGGCATAGCTCTTGAGTTTAGCCATCCGATCCAATGCCACATGTATTCCGCCTAATACAGGTCAAAAAATAGGATACTGGTACTGCGTTTTGTTTACCGTGCCGAACTAGCTCCCTGAAAACATTTAATATTGAAAACTTCCTACTGATCTTAAACTCTTCAAGCTTTACACCACTCCAGGATTTCACTGCATCAACCCCCCCTCCCTTGCTCAAGCTCCACCCACCTTCCTTCCAGGAACATGTCGTAGTAGAAGCCACTATCGATGGGCGGGCCGTAGCACAGACAACCCCCGTAGTGCCTCTCCATGGCCTCGCCCAGCATGTGGGCAGAGGAGTGCCAGAACACCTGCTGGCCTTCGTCGTCGGTGAACTTGAGCAGCTCCACCCGGCTGTCCACCTCCAGGGGCCGGTCCAGGTCCCACAGGATGCCGTTGACTTTGGCCACCACAGAATTGTCGGCGAGCCCTTGGCTGAATTTAGAAACAAAATTGTATTGCAACACCTTAGGGGTGCGCTTTGGGTGAGAGTTTAAGGAACTGGGTATCTGATTGGAACATGTGTGACATTTTTTTTCTGCACTTGTTTTCATATTTTGATTCATATTTTCAAATTTTGCGAAATTCTCAAGAAAACAGTACCAAATGAACTTGAAATGAAACACGGATACCTCTATGGATTATCATGCAAAGAGCATTTCCTTATTCATTCTTTGCTACATTTAAACATTTCATCAAGAAAATTTCATTACATTATAATCATACACTGTGTAAGCATTGTGTTTTCATTCCTTTTGTAGTTCATTGTTTGAAATTTGTTCATGTATTGTTTGCTCCGACATCAGTATTAGATACGACAGTCAAAATGCGAAGGAAAACATGCAACTTGACAGGAAAAATGAACGCACTTCAACGAGTTTGCACGACACGGCCATTTACACACAAGAGCATGGAAAAATTCAAGTTTTGGATGATTCTTTACTCTTAATTGCCACGTGAATCTAACATGAAAATGCTTTGTCCGATTTTTGCAAATTTGCTATCGACAGTTGCCCAAGACCTCCAAAAAGAAAGCCACGAAAGGAACATTTGAAAGTTTCAAAGGTTTGGCAGTAGCAGCAAACTATCCACAGGGGCTCCCCCACTCACTGCGTAGGGTTTAAATTGGCACAGAAAGTACGCCAGCATCTGGTCCGTCTTTCTTCTTTTATCATGTTTACTGGTAAAGGTATTCACCCATCGACAATTTTGGGCCGAGTTCGGGTGCCTTGTATCCTTATGTTCGCGAACAGCTCGATCTGCTGTTCAGGGTCGGTCGCTCGAACGCCAAGAACGTACAACCGGTTATCGCTGGTATAGTTCGTACATGTATGTGGCAAGCAACAGACAGTATAACGGCGGCGTCCATGTACGTTCTTTGAGAGTCAGCGTTGGATAACTGGGCTGAATTCTTTTTTTCCATTCGAAAAGAAACATTCGTTTCTGACTTTCTACAAACTTATCATAGTAACTTTGCAGAACTCCCCGTTGTCTCGGGCTTTGTGAGCCATCTCGCTATTTTTTTTGCGGCTGTTCAATAATCGAAATCTCACGAGTTTTTCTTGGTGTTCCTGTAAAACCCTGACGAAGAGGTGGTGTGTAAACTTGCTCCGAGAACACCGTTCTTGGGCCACGTTCCCCCCATTCGAGTGCGAGAACAAGAAACCTGTGTCAAGAACAGGCCGCCCGAACTCGACCTCGGTGTACGCCAACTTGACATTCTATTTACTGTGACGCTGTTTACAGTAAAATTGGAAAGCACTCGCAGGCCTACCTGATGCCAGCGGCTATCGTGTAAGGTGTGGTCTCCCACGCTCTGCCCTCAACCTCCTTACCATCGGGGAGGGTAACCTTGATGGGGGTTCGCTCTTTGGCTGTAATAAACATGTGAAACATACAATGAAAAATGGGGATCTCGACATTTCTGTTCTGGCCCCCAAAGGGCTGGGAAGGAGCAGAATCGATACTCTCTCACATTAGGGGTCATGTACGTGTATTTACAACTTGCAGGTACGTGACTTTGACTTGGACAAAACGACGAAGAAATTCCACTCTTGACAAGACCTTGTTCAGTGTTTTGCAATGTTCAATGGCAGGAGCGTAAAGCAAAAAAAAAGGAAATGGGTTCATCTGAGGAAATGTTGTATGCCACAGAGCACCGTGCCATTTTGAAACACCATCAGGGGCCGGCTAACATTGTACAATATCTGATGCGACAGTTCTGTGTGAACTATGTACCGGTGTTACATGTGCAGCAAGGTATGAGACGGAGAGAACCCCCCCTGCTTTGTGTTGGTCATTGTCTCGCAGGAATCTGGGGGATTCCTTTCAGACATCTTGGGGGGATGTGTTAAGTAACAATAGTCTGGAATGTGTATAGGGAATGGACATGTTTGGGGGGTACCCCTCGGTCTCATTTCTTGCTGGGTATGCAGTGTTGAGACTTGGTAGCCCAACTTTTGTTGATGTTAACCCTGAAAATCCCAAAATCCTCCGATTTCAATATTTTTTTTTACATACACCTTAGGGGGTTAGGATTAATGTAGTCAGAAATGGCTTAATGACTATTTATACCTAGAGCCAAGCTCCTCTGTTTCCAATACACTGGTGTTTTATTGTTGGAAATATATACACAATGTAATAATAATAATAATGTATCCTTAACCCTCCTTTGGTTTTACATCACAAATATGCACGAGTGCCCACAGTCACTCTCTTGCATGTGTTTTCTGTATGGAACATAAATATGCACAGGTTCAGTGTGTACACAGTTGGTTGCGAGCACAAAATGACCCAAGGTCTTTTGTGCAGTCCTTTTCATTGCATTTGGTTTACTGCACAATGATGCACATGAAACAGTGAATCACAGTTGTTGGGCAGCACAAAAGTGCAATCTGATATTCCTGTGAGGGACAGTTGGTGCAGTGCACAACACGACACAGCTGTGCTTCCTTGAGTTGTTCACCAAATGACCCAAAGAGTGACTTCAGCATAGGAGGGTTAATGGAGCATTTTCCATAAAATATCTCAAAACGCTTTACAAGAAAAATACATTAATTATAAAACACTTTTAAAAAATGGGACTAATTAAAAAACTTTAAAAAAAAAACGTTTTCAACTGTACTTTAAAAATCGACACTTCACTGATGTTCCTAAGATAGGCAGGAAGCCGATTCCATAGCATGGGGGCATAGACGGAAAATGCACGATCGCCTTTTTCTTTATTTGGCATTGGGCGTATTTTAGGTTGATTGAGCTTAACGGCATCACAACCTCTCGTACGGATGTTACCAGTGTTAAGGTCATGCACTGACAACAGTTCAATAAGGTAATGTGGCGCTGAGTCACAATGGCGGCTGAGTTTAAAAACAATACAGAGTATCTTAAATTCCACTGGTACTATGTCAAAATAGCGGCCTAATTTCCTCCTGACAACCAGTGTACCTTGTGATATGGGGCAGGTTTTTGCATAGCGACCACTATCTCTGGAATGGACTGGTTCCTTTGTGCCCTTCTTATCCAGTGAAATGTATGCACACATAGGCAGACAGGTGAGACTTATTTTGGGAAACCTCACAGGTCATAATTATTACCCATAAAGGGTGTCCAAAATAGTGTGCAAGAACCGGCAATGAGCCTTGTGTGGGTTACATTTGAATAAAATCTGGTACACTGAGTTCTTTCAATTCACGCGAACATAATAATTTGAATTCTCCACACTGAAGACACTGTGGCTATACCTTGTGATTCAGGGCAAGCTTTTGTTTGGTTATATAAGAGACGCCTTGTACCAATACACTGTTTTCAGTGGATAGGAAGGGCACAAAGGAACCAGTCCATTCCTGAGATGGTGGTCGCTATGCAAAAGCTTGCCCCAAATCATAAGGTATACAAGTGGCAACAGTGTCTTTAGTCTGGGGAATTCAAATTGTTATGTTTACATGTATGTGCAATAAAATTACACCGGTGTACCAGATTTTCAGCAAATTGAACTCGCAAAAGGCTTACTAGGATGCCAAATACAGGTATACATGTAGCTACGCACACATGCGTGGGCTTGAAGCGGATGACTTGTGACTCGACTTGGGAACACTGACTTGTGAGCCGACCTGTTGAAATGACTTGGGAGATCGCAATGTTCTGCAGTGTATGGATTGCATGGATGCACAGTGGGTACCGGGGAAGGCTTAAGGGGGAATGGGGGATTAAGAATGGAAGAGACCGCTCACCAGCTAAGGCTGTGTCGGCTTCTGCCTTGAGCTTGTCAAACAGGTCTATTCTCTCCTGGATGTACGCCGGCCACGGGTCCAACTGGAAAGCCGACAAAATAAGAACAAAAATACGATCAAGGGTTGCCTTCCGGCTACCGGTCTGGGAATACTGGATTCTGCAGGAGGGGAGCACGGTGCGCCCACGTACATGCTAGAAGAGGCGGTTTGTTTTCAAATCAACACAGCAGATGCATGCATGCATGTATATGTACTGCACATATGTTCATGTATGTACAGTGTACACAACACCTGCTGTATTTGAACTTACGAGCACCTGTACTTTCCCCAACTAGTACGGGTACATGTACATACTACAAGTACATGTATTTAGGGCTGAATCAATTTGAATAATTCACTATTCGAATATTCGACCTTCAATTCAGTCGAATATCTGAATACTTGGTTGTGCCAACCGGCAGATTATTGATGAGCAAACCATATACAAACTCAGTTGCAATAACGTATACAATTGGACTTAGTATGATAGCTTCTCACGTCTAGGTGTATCTCCAGCCATGATTTGGCAAGATTGAAGAGACAAACAATACTTGTCCTGTTGAAAAATTCTATTCCTCTTCAATTTTTTAATGAATACCGGTAATTTACTTTCTGAATCGTAAGATTTGTCGCATTTCACTTGAATCTGCTTGAAAAAAACCTCCATAGTGCAATTTTTCTCATTTATAACAAAAGAAAACGTTCTCTTCCTTTTCACAAATTTTGCCTGTGAATATTCAAATTCCAAAAATAATATTCAAATATTTGATAATCGATTGAATTTTCGGTTCTTCAGATATTCAGCACTGCCCTACCATTTTGCAACAATTCACCATGGTGCATGTCGACATACATGTACAAGGAGAATTTGTAGAATTGTGGACCAGGAACCAGACTATTCATTTCACCCAGTGGGTCGAATACTGCGCTAGCGGGTGTTGGGCCGCTTGCCGAATGTACCGCTCGGTCCATCTTCTCATGTGGCGTGTTTTCAGTGTCTGAAGTCTTGTAACTCTCGAAATCAAAGAGTCCAAAAAACTCTTTGGACAACACGTGCTGACACGTGTGCTACATCAGGTCAAGACCGACGTACCCCGTAGCTCTAGCTTCTTACCTCCACAGGGAAGGCTCCAGGTGCAGGCTCTTTTCCCTTTTTGTCACCTTTACTGGACATCTTAGCTTCCTGCGGGAAAATGGAGGAAACACAAAGTGAACCATGCATAGGGTGCATTTGGACATTTGTACCATGGAGTCGTGAACTTTGAACCCCGACTGCCACGACGACAGCGGGCAGCAGTTGTACGTACACGTATGTATGTCAAAATGAGAAGTCTGCTCAATGGACCGTACTTGCGGGGTACCCGATTTCAGCCATATTCCTGACGTCCTGAACATATTGCACACATTTGAAACCCTTAATGGGATGAGGTGAGTTTGGGGGTTGGAATGAATCCTCAATATAGAGTCTGGTTCTTTGAATTGAACATTTTCAAATGAACACGCTACATGTGCGTCGGGGAATCCGACTGAAATTGGGTCCCCGCGAATATGTTCCATTGCAAGACAGGCACATGCATCCCATGGCCTAACGAGTTGGAGTTCCAGCCTACCAGCCACTCCTTGATCCAACAATGGAGCTTGTCAATGGAGGGAAAATTGTCTCACAACCAGCAATGCCGCTCTGTTAGCGCTTGTGTACGTGCACTGTACACGTACAACTCAATTTAACGGGGTTCAAGCAGGTGGGCAGGGCAGGGTTCATATTGTACATACTGGTATGTAGTATGTACGATGCACTGTATATGTAGAGTATGTACAGGCGTGTCGTACATAGTGTGGACCTCTGTACAGAAGAAGTCCACATAATGCAGGGTACGATGGCGTTGTGTGGACTTGCACACCTCTCTGAAAAACAGTTTACGAGGCATTTGGGGGTCAAGGTTAGCTGTGGCAAACTGAAGAGTCCAGGAAATCATCATCAAAGATCCAGCTCGAAGAAGTCTTCCCAGTGGGAGAAAAAGGAGCATTTACCTTAACCACAGGAGAACAAAGGTCCATGTCTGTCCACACTTGGTATTTACAACAAGTGTTTCTGTGTACCCATGGGCATCTGCACACTACCCTGCTCCCATATAAATTGCCATTAGTTTGCATCATCACAAGACAAGCTCCACATACCTACATATGTCTACATTGTGCGCGCATGTAAAAACAATGAACTGTCGTAATGGTTGATTACTAGCGATTTGACTACACATTGGCTCCATGATATTGGCAAAAGGTTCCTTTCCCAAAACTTCAAACTAATCCAACTAATGTACAACATGTACTCGTACATGCATGCCATCTAGGCCATTTGCTAATGTACTGAAGGCACGTTAAAAACTTCAAGAAACATGAGAAACAAGGCTCCCCCGTGAGACTTTGAGTACATGTGTTATCACTTTATGTGGTGGCAATAAAAATTGGTTTAAATACAACATCAACTGATGAAAATTAATAAAACCACTTTTCTCACGGCCACGGACATTACATGTACCATCTGACCATGACTACCTGGCACGCCCAGTCATGCCATGATTTACTGATTTAAATTGAAATTGAACACAGGTGCAAAGATTAATGTTTATTATCCAGTTTAAAACAATAAAACCTGAGAGACATGGCCATTCACTGATACCATCAACGTCTTAGGTCAAAATGAAATGAATATCTTAACATGGTGGAGCTAGGCCTATACTAAGGATCTGAACATGACCAGGCGACAATGGACGAAGTGCAGTTTACCGAAGACAAGACTCGTTTGCATCTACCAACAAGCTGACGTCCTGAAATCCTTCCAAAAGCTCTGGCTAACATGCGGGACACTATCTGCGCTATTTCGAATTGAAAACAACGGGAAGGTTTAGCATGCCTTTTTCTTGTCTTCCACGGACAGGTTGGTCACCCCTTTCGCCACGACGTCCGCCATGCTGGATTAAGTTGAAAAGGCGCCCTCACTTGAACACACAAAGAGGCCAAAAATTCCAGAGGTGTGAATTTGACAGGTCTTTAAATACCTTATAGGTTCGTTACCCTGTTCATCAAATGAACTTAGGAATAAACATTGCATCAGCTGTCTTTAATTTTCTATTGTTCGCATTGAAAAAGATGCGTTCCAAAGCAGTTGAGGACGTCAACTTGAACCATCGTATCTCCGTGCAAGGAAGCAAGAAGATTAAGATCTGGGGATGATGCAATCCTAGACGAATGTTTACCAGTCACATTAATTCACGCCCTGTGCAAACTGTCAGCGGAGCTTTGCAGAAACCAGCTAAACATCATTTCCTTGCACTGCATGCACTGGCGTATGATTATATTTGGTGACTGACGACATCAGGTCAAAAGTGGAAAAAGCTGCTTAGGCCTAATCCCTATTATCAGTCCAATCTGTTGACGTCATGCAACGTGTGAGTTTCATCATCACAACCATTTTACTTTGAAAAACAACACGAGGGTCAAATTTTTTGAGACGTTAATTAATTAAAGAAGGAGAACAAAGTCCAATGTCCGCAAGACATGTGAAGAAAATACAAAAGCAGCCAGTAATGATAATAATAATAATAATTTGTTATAAAGCGCCCTCCATAAAAATTATCTCAGAGCGCTGTACAATATACACTACAAACTATAACAACCAATAGCCGGGCCTTCATTTGAAATCAACATAAAACCATTTTCACTTATAACTTATCTCAAATAAATATTATGTGATGCTGAAGCACGTATTGACAGAGGCAGGGCATTCCTAAGTCTGGGTGCGCAAGCCTTTAATGCCCTGTCACTGTAAGACTTATTGCCCTCTATTGGCTGATATAAGTTAAATTTCCCTGTGAATTCGATCTCAACTGACGACCAACATTGTGAATGTGTATATGTTCTTGCAAATAGCAAGGAGCCAAACCATGTACATGTACATCTTCTAGTCTGAGCATATGCATGACGCAAGTCTTCTGTATGGCCTCCTATTCCGTGCACCTTTCTGATGTACGGTTCTGCAGGAGGAGTGTAATGTATGGCAACTGTATGTATCCTGAACGTCGCCCCCTACGTTCACATGGTGTCAGCTTTTCAAATTTTCGTCCACGGCCGGGCCAAGTCATTTCCCCAGTTCCCGGCACAAATTTTCGCCACTTTTGTTGGGAAAGAAAGTGTTTTTCCTTTTATTTATAGGCATACTATACACTTTTTCTGTCTGCAGCATCCATGCGACTTTTCAGAAAACCTGGAACATAGGAAATCGTCAGAGTTTGGACCTCATTGTTTGCACACACTATATAGTGATAGTACGGTATACAGACCCACGCCATTATTTTTATGAGGCCAGATTATTCAGGAAACATGTCTATGCGTCTGGGCGCAGCTGTTGCGGACACTGATTTGTTTAAAAAATTGAGACGAACAAAAAAAGGCTTAATTAAGCCTGTAATTAATTTAGACACAGGCGGTAGTGGTGCAGGCCATTTTTGTGAAATTACGCGCGCCTAAGTTGTCAAAAGTAGTTCTAAGTGATCCAACCGCTGATCGCACTATGACGTCTCGAAAGATGAGACGACTTCTGTTAGCAGTAATTCTCGTCACTGGAAACTGGGCGTTTTTCAGTACTATAGTACTCCTAGACACCATCCATGTGCTCCTCTTCCCGCCCGGAGACCGCACGTGCGATCGTCCAGCCGCGGCAGTGCCACCCCTCGGGACGGGCGAGCCGCCCGTCACTCTGGGTCGCGGAAGATACGCCGCCGGATATTTGCAAAGAGAAATTGGAAGGGAGACCTCAGAATCTGACAGGCCCAGGTCCCGACTGCGAGATGTAATAGACCGCGAGACCAACGCAATCCCATCTTGGCGAAGCCGACAGGAAATTGTGTTCCTGCAACAACTCAAGGTAGCCCACGACATGACACTCGAAATTGTTTAAGGAGGCCTATGATTTAATTACACGTATTGACGATGTGGTTAAAGGTGGCCTACACCGTGTCACGATACATAGGCATATGGAGGAAATGTAGCCGTCCAATTGGGATTCGCGCTAAAAAAAGTACGGTCCATGATTCACCTTTGCTCGGAAAAGTTTTTTTTAAATTGGGATTACAGCGTTTACTGATGTCCCCTATAACGTGGCGCAGCCCCCTAACGTGACAAACCTATAAGTTTTTGCCTCAAGTGTTTATTGGACCACCATTTTTACATAAAATTTCATAAAAGATTAATAAACTCCCACCATTCTGGTTTTATAAAACTCGATTTTGCGATATGCAAAGTTCGGATGGAATTTTATTTTGGCCCCGATTTTCCGAGTTTTTGTGAGTGCAAAATGAACTCTTCTAAAGCGCGACCAAAATACGAAAAACACTTTCTATCAGATAGGCAGTTGGGTTTGTGAGTAAAAGTAACAATGGTTTACTGGAATTAATCAACTGTAAATAATTTCTTCAATGTCAATGTGGGATTTTCTGAGAAAGGTTCAAGTGCGCCACGTTATAGGGGGGCACTCAGCTAAATACTTGCCCAATTTCCGGACGCCGCCGTTTTTGAATTTCGGACGAAATTCCTGACATTAAAATTGTTGACAAAGGTTGAAAAGCTTGCATCGTCAAGCAAGCAGTATCAAGTGGATTTGAAGTTTGTCAACAAAGAGGTTTGGCAATTGTACGGGGAAAATAAAGCGAACGTCGAACTTCGCCATGCTGGGAACTCTTTCGTAGTGCAAACTGTGAAGAGGGGTTTCCCGTTTGCGCGTATCTGTCTGTGGGACAGGTCATTAAGGGCCCGTTTCTAAGGAATAAAGGCTTCACCGTTACCGCTGGTAAAATGTCTTATGCTGAAGACACCGTATCATTTCCCTGAATCATTTTAATAATGACTGATTATACCTGTCGGCCAGGAACACCACATTCAGCGTCCATTGCCATTTGATGCAGGCACGAGATACCGTAATGTGCTCGCAGTCTCGCGTTGTCGTGGTAACTGCTAGGAACAATCATTTCATTCTGCCCGACTTCAGACTTGTGCCGCAAGTGATTCATACCTGATGTCTCCCACATCATGTGGGTTGGGTAATTTCCAGCTATCCCGTTGGTCGCGATATCTTCCCTCGTATATAGCGCAGTCCAGTGTCAGGGTTTTTAGATAGCCCATACGGCGCTTTAACGTTGCACCCAAAGGGAAATTGGATAGTGCTATATACTCTGGTTGCAAGCGGTTTGATTAAATTTATAGCTCTGTCTCTGCGGGAGACAGAATGGAACCTGTCATTTTTGTCCATTCGTTTTGTTCCCAGACAATTCAAAACATGAAGTGCTCCGGGACTGAACTGTGGCAGTGTATAACTAACCCTGCTTTGTTTTCTGCACACGTTCATATTTTCAGTTAAAGAAATACTACCAAATGAAATGTTTTGATAAAAAAGGCCCTAAAGAGAGCAAAACAAAGAATTAATTGTTAAAATGCTTGAGGGGTACTTAATTTATGGATAATAAAAACAAACTGCAACAGGTTACACAAACCTTTCTTCAAAGAAAAGAAATCAAGCATAAGGGTTTATGCGTTAGTTACAGATCATTTTAAAATGATCTCTTGGCTCCCCCCAACATGTTTGATTTCGGTTTTGCTTTCCCTTTTCACACCAGCGTCATCCATACAGTCTGCTCTTTTCACGTCTCGTGTTTGTCTTACCGTGGCTGCTAAAACTATGTCTGGTCGTCAATACGAAAGACAACCATTACGATCACCTTCATCCGTGGTCATCACAGATCGACGGGGGCCTAAAAATTCACAAGGTGTTAAAATCCCACACAGCCATCAAACACCAAAAAATAATACCTACTGCTAGACACTAAATGAAGACACAACCCTTGTTATAAAATCCATTGGACAAAATGTCCATTTTGAACGAATTCGAGGTAAAATCAGGATCCAACGAAAAGGTGATTTTTATGCAAATTCTGGCCGCCCAAACAAAATGTAGGCAAAATGAGGCCAAAGGTTGAGTTACAAGAACGGCAGTTATTTTGTCAGGACGAAGCAGTTTGGCAAAATTCTTTGGATGGCTCATCGACAAAATTAAGCGATTTCTCAGACGCAGATAACGTAGTGAGTCTACTTTGAACAGGGCCTTTCACGATCTGCAGGGCCTTTAGACCAAATATGAAAAGGGCGTTTCTCTGCGTTCAAATCTCCTTAATTCCGAGATCACTCCGAAGACATTAAAATGGTCCATTATGTGATCAACGCATGATTGATGGCGCAATCGGGACCACTGTATATTTGTGTGTTACCAAATGACGCTGTTTACGGCGTGGTTACGAGGCAAGTGGAGCAAATTTGTTTCCCTATTTTTATGGAGCAGGGCAATATCCGTTCTTGCGAGCATTAAGTGAGTTCAGATTTGAACGATACTGCATTTGTTAAATTGCACGTTCTTTTTCTTGACTGAGCCATAAATGGCTCCTACGATTGCAAACGACCTCCAGTGGACTGTTCACAATTAAAGTGTTGCTGCACTGAATTTTTCTTTGAACTAATTTTTCTGCATCTTAGTACGTTTCTTCAATACGTGGCAACTCTTTTATCACACTCCCATTTGGCTAAATGCCCTGAAAAATGCACACTTTTTAAACAATTAAAATTATCCATGTTTTCCCTGGCTACTGAGGGCGCTGCTGCAGTATAGTAATAAAGGGAAGACATGGCTCTGTACACAGGTGTGTCTGTTCAAGTGGTGGACCCAGAATGTACTGACTGATAACAGTTTTGAGAGAGTTTTGTAACACAGGCTTCTTCCTGAGGCGCGCCATTGTGAATCGCAGCTGTATTAACTGGGGGTACATACTTCCTTCAGAGTAGCACTAAAAACATACGAACCGTAACTAGTGCAATGTTATTTTGTTAATTTCAGGATTGAAACAAGAACCATCATGGGGAGGGGTGGCCCCGTTCCTCCTCTATGTGCCAATGTCCCCAGTGGTTGAGAATGGGGAAAGGTGATTGTTCTTTTTTCTTCCCCCCCCCTTTTTTTTAAAAAGAATCTGACCAACACAACAGTACAACCCCGAAAATCGTGCACCGGCGCTCGGAGAGCGATAAATGGTCAGGAGGACGTCGGCAGAAGAGGCCAATCGCCATCCTCAGAGAAGTTTCTCCTTCCCGTCATGCTTGGCAACCAGGGCCCTAACAACCAACTCCAGGCCTTCCGATTTGTCGCTATCGTTGCCAGGGAGCGTAACTACACGCTGGTTTGGCGCCCT